GCAAAACAATCGCCGTCTCCCGTTGCTGGTCGGCCGCGCGGCCGGTTACTGGTTACACATTTAAAATCTTGCAGCCAATTAAAATCAATAACGCGCGTATTCCTCCTCGCGCATACACGCGCATTATCTGCAGCCAATGGAGGGATGCTCATTATCACGAACACCATTATTTATCATCCTGCACATAGCAGTAAATGGTGCTTCGACAAAAACGTAGTTATACGCCGGGTACATTGTAAATTATCTCGGCTCGTAGAACACCGCTGCGCCCGACCAACGTTCACGTTTAATTAGTACAAAATCCACTAGGATCCTCCGACCGTGTACGGTGTACAACATCTTTTTTCCGCCAATTTATTGACCTAATAGCCGACGATGCACAGGGCGATCCATTGTTTTCTACGAGCTGGCGACACGATATAAAATCAATTCCACATCTTCGTGTGCTGAAGTCAATATATTGTTCGTATCCAGCTGCAAACAAATATTGGGTTGGCAACTAAGTAATTGCCGATTTGTTCAATGAAATAAAAAGTTTTTTTACTTGGAACGAAGTTTAATCTGTAATGTATTTTCCATTTTGTTCGATGACCTTTTGCCATCTCTCTGGCAACTTGAAAATTCCACGCTCGTAGAAAGTCTGATCCTTTTCGGCCAAAAACTGAGTTAAGTGAGATTTTACAGCGTCATCATCATTAACCCCTTAATCCACAGTTTTTTTAAAAAAGACCGGCCAAAAAGATCAATTTTTTTTAATGTAAAAAAACACAATTTAGAATGTTGTCTTGGCAAGAAAATTACAAAAATACAAAAATAATAGATATCTATACAATTGGTATGATTTCTAATTTTCAGAATATTACTATTATTATTATTGTTATTATTGTTATTATTGTTATTATTGTTATTATTGTTATTATTGTTATTATTGTTATTATTGTTATTATTGTTATTATTGTTATTATTGTTATTATTGTTATTATTGTTATTATTGTTATTATTGTTATTATTGTTATTATTGTTATTATTGTTATTATTGTTATTATTGTTATTATTGTTATTATTGTTATTATTGTTATTATTGTTATTATTGTTATTATTGTTATTATTGTTATTATTGTTATTATTGTTATTATTGTTATTATTGTTATTATTGTTATTATTGTTATTATTGTTATTATTGTTATTATTGTTATTATTGTTATTATTGTTATTATTGTTATTATTGTTATTATTGTTATTATTGTTATTATTGTTATTATTGTTATTATTGTTATTATTGTTATTATTGTTATTATTGTTATTATTGTTATTATTGTTATTATTGTTATTATTGTTATTATTGTTATTATTGTTATTATTGTTATTATTGTTATTATTGTTATTATTGTTATTATTGTTATTATTGTTATTATTGTTATTATTGTTATTATTGTTATTATTGTTATTATTGTTATTATTGTTATTATTGTTATTATTGTTATTATTGTTATTATTGTTATTATTGTTATTATTGTTATTATTGTTATTATTGTTATTATTGTTATTATTGTTATTATTGTTATTATTGTTATTATTGTTATTATTGTTATTATTGTTATTATTGTTATTATTGTTATTATTGTTATTATTGTTATTATTGTTATTATTGTTATTATTGTTATTATTGTTATTATTGTTATTATTGTTATTATTGTTATTATTGTTATTATTGTTATTATTGTTATTATTGTTATTATTGTTATTATTGTTATTATTGTTATTATTGTTATTATTGTTATTATTGTTATTATTGTTATTATTGTTATTATTGTTATTATTGTTATTATTGTTATTATTGTTATTATTGTTATTATTGTTATTATTGTTATTATTGTTATTATTGTTATTATTGTTATTATTGTTATTATTGTTATTATTGTTATTATTGTTATTATTGTTATTATTGTTATTATTGTTATTATTGTTATTATTGTTATTATTGTTATTATTGTTATTATTGTTATTATTGTTATTATTGTTATTATTGTTATTATTGTTATTATTGTTATTATTGTTATTATTGTTATTATTGTTATTATTNATTGTTATTTTCAATTCTCGATTGCATTCGAGTGTGAAAAATTATAGCAACGTAAAGTACAACGCCGCTCGAATTATCTCGGGTGTGCACAGTTTGGCCAGTTTAGCGCGCTCGAGTTAACTCGAGCGTGCACGTTAAGGGTTAAAAGTTTTACCACGAAGGGAGTTGTTCAAGGATCGAAATAAGTGATAATCCGATTGCGCGAGATCAGGGCTATATAGTGGGTGTAACATCAATTTCCAATCAATATCCATCAATTTTTGCCGAGTGGACAAAGACGTGTGCGGCCTAGCATTGTCCTGGTGGAAAATGACACCTTTACGATTGACCAATTCTGGTCGCTTTTCCTTGACCGCTGCATTCAATTTGTCCAGTTGCTAACATTCACGGATAATAAAAAATAATATAATATTAATAATAATAATAATAATAATAATAATAATAATAATAATAATAATAATTTTATAATATAACATTTACGGATGTCATAAAAATGGGAGTGAGAGACATCTATAACTGAAATCGACAATTATTTAGTTCCATTGCTCGGTATGATTTACGAAAGATCAGTTGTGAAATTATGTACGCATTTCCACTCGTTTCGTAGCAACCATCGCCGAATCCATTCAAATCCTTTCGTGTATCAATTTTCTTTCGCATATTTTTGAAACCACTTCTTAGAAATTAAGATCGATCGTCTTAGTGAACTTAATTGTAAGAGATAATACGTTGATCTGGCTATTAGAAAGTTGAAATAGAGATGGAACGTTCGTCTCCATGGATCAAAACGAGTCCAAGTTTCGTAGTACGAGAGTTAACAATCTCGGAAATGTAATTAATAGACTGCGGATTTTATGGATTTGTGCCAAAGGAAAGTTGGTAAAGGCTAGAATTATGGAAGAATTTGAACAATTCAAGAATTTTCGATGCATTCCTTTCAGTTGATTAAAACGATTAAAGGAATACAGCAGCTGTTCGATTCCTGCTGTTTACAATCCAGTGCAGCTTGTATTGTCCACAAATATCGGCAGTTTAAAAAAAAAAGAGCTGTATTTCCATCGACTTTTGTATCGTCTTCAACAAAGACGCAAAATACCAAAGATCGCAAAATTTCAGTTCGAAAGGTAAGAAAACTATTAGGAAACATTTGAAAAAAAAATGCTTAATATCGCTGCGGAGAGTAAGAATGGCAACGTTGTCGATGGCCATAGTAATTAATGCTGCAGCCACCGAAAAAGCCACGGGTTCCTTGTAATGTGCTAAAGCAATTCCGAGGCGCCAGAAAAAGACGAAGACGTGGTTTGCACCGAAAACTATCCCGCGAGTTTGTTTCAAGTGGTTTGTCGGAGTCGAAGGAGCGTGTCAAAGGGGCCGTCAGTACAGCGGAACACGTTGTCAAAAATATCGGACAATAAAGTGGCGCCTGGAAGGAGCCGTGGATCGCGAGCGGCGCGCGGCGGTAACGTATCGCGAAACTACCGGTCTATTAATAGCCGGCAGCCGCAAGAGCAGCAGCTTGTTCGCTACGTTTCGTCGTATGTCATCATTTTATTTTTCCCGTTAGCGGTATGGCGCACGGTCCCTTTCATCTTCGTGCTGTCGGGCCACGATGCATCCCTTGTAGTCTCATCGTACGGTTTCTTTCCGACCTCGAGGACGTCGTAAATCGTCCTCGGGGCTCGGGGACACGCCGAGGCCGTGGCCGTGGCCGTGGCCGGCGAACGGTGCAACGCGTACCTTCGGCTGCTATTCGCGGATAGAAGAAACAAGAAAGAAGACGCCGCGATGCTCATCGGCGCGACATTGCCTCCGCAGAAATCGCACCGAGCAGACGGCCCGTGGCATTTTCCCCGCCGAATAATCGTGTCCCCCGGCCGGAATCGTATATCGACCTCCTTTACTTCTATTTGCGGACTATTACTGCTATTACTGCGGGACCTACGCGAACCCCGACATTCCACTGCTCTAATTAAACTAACCATAGACAGTAGACGGAGCCCGTTTCCATCGCAGCTGCACGGTGAAATTATTTCGCCTGAAATGATGGCCAAAATTCTTTTGTTCCTTTTCGCGAGAACCAAAAAACATTTTGGCAACGAAATGTTGCCCGCCATTAGCGCAGGATAAAAGAATTTACAAATAACATTCTTCACCGATTCGTTTACCGTGTCTTTATTTGTCTCGTGTTACTTTAAATTTCATCGAATTATAATCAAATTTATACGAATTGTTCGAAATATGTACTTCACCGAATTACCGGACATTTTTTAAGAGTCCGCCACGTAAAATTAGGTTGGGAATGTTCGCAAAATATCATGAAATAACGTCTATAAATGAAGCTGAAATACATTTAGCATTTCTTAAATAATTCACTTAAGGAAGATTCAATTCCAAGAAAGTTTATTCCGATCGTATCTATCTAATAATACAAAATTCCGTAGACATAACTCTGCTTCTACGTTGCCGATTCTGAAGAGAATTCTCAATCTTCTGTCGTTATCTCAGCTACAGATTTATTTGAAACAGTTTCTTCGCTTCGAATTATGGAATAATTATTATTAGATGCGACTGCGTTTAGCAACGCAACGGTAGAGTGATAAGCGCGTTAGTCACGCCTCCGCGTCCGGTTTTCGATTTTTCACGCCAATTTCGCAGAAGATAATCCGCATGATCCACGAGGAATAGTTTTACCAGAGTTCGAGAGACATTCGGCGCATAAATTAACCGCTGTCGGCTCGCTCGGAACGGTATAAATAATAATTTAAAAAATGCGGAGGATTCAACTGGTGAATTTAAAAAGCATGGTCGAGAGAAAGAGGGAGAAAAAGGGGGAAGAGAGAAAGAGAGAGAGGGAGAGAGAGAGAGAGAGAGAGAGAGAGAAGGGAAGAGAGAGAGAGAGAGAAAATCGTAACCGGAGAGACAGCAAATAACATATATATTTTTAATTAACGTGCAAATGAAAGCGCCACGCAGCGATCGTTGTTGCCTACTTATCACAGGTGCCATCCGTTGGCGTTGATATCACGCGCACATTTTGCTCGTCCGGATTATTCGTATGCCGTGGAATCTGTCCACGAAACGTCTGTCTAAAAACCTGACGTGGACATCGTTATCGGTCGGTTAAGAAGCGTTAAAATAGAAAATCTGCTCGAACGTCTGCGCGGATCGGTGACGGTGACGGTGACGGTGTGGCGTGTCGGTGACGGTGATGTTTTCCTTGATCGATGTGCGCCGTCTCTGCTCGAGAGCAATTCGAATGATTAAAAATCTGCATATACGATTTTTCCAAAACCGAGGTACCTCTCTCTAAATGTACCACGAGTGGGAGGGGTGATATTCGAGTTTGATTTGAAAGCCGCGCACTTGTCATCGCGCGTCGCAGAAAATATTCCATCAAATTGCTAATCCGATTCGTCGACCGTTCAAAAGTCTTTCCTTCGATTACATTGCGGATTTTAACGATGCGACCAGCACAATTTAGAACGGACTTTAATGGCGTCGTTAACGAGCACGTGCTTAATGTGTACTTACACGCGTAGCAAGGATAATATAATTTTATGCTAATTGCCCGAGCGAACTTTTAAACGAGAGAATTGTTTCGTTAAGATCGACGCTCGTTAATTTCGTTTCTATATACCTTCGACGTCTTTGTAAATTGTTTACGAGCTTTGAATATGCCTTAGACGATCCAATGAATCGATAATTCGATTCCTGCTGCTAACTTAAACATTTTTCATGATTCCTTGAAATATATAAATACAATGTGAAATCATATTTTCTACGATTCACAGAATTGATTATAAAATTTTGATAGCCTGTTGCTAATGCTCTGCTACTCCTCTAACGAATGTTTCTTCTTTCTGTTACAGGTAAGTGAATATCTTAACAACGTGATCTCGCACGGCACTCGAGAGTAAGTATGTAACCCCAAAAACGTGCTCATCATCAAATTCATCAGAACCAGTTGCCTTTGTACAATTCGCCAAAACCTTTTTGTAACATTCCCGCAAATTTTATCATATCTTCTAAAAAAAGCCTCTAAACTCTTTATTCGTCAAAGCACGATTACCAAGATTTTCTATCAATAGGAGATCGTTACATTACATCGACTTAACAAAATTTGTTGAATTATTACCTTGCAAAGAAAATCCCGTCCGTTGATCTTCGACCTTCGCCTCCTTGCCTTCCAATGTCGAGTCGATCGGAATCGAAATTCTATTCTTCTGTTATCGGTGTTTAAACACAAGAGAAAATACAAAGGAAATTACGAAGGACATAGATGTTCTAATTGCGGTAGCTGTAGAGAAAATCATAACGGAAGAGTTTGAAAGGGCCATTAAAAAACAGCTGGTACATAAAGTGTTACGTTCGCCGCGAAATCAAATTCTCTTGCTTCGAAGTTCGTTGCAGAGATAAGACCACCGACAGCGGTATCGCGTGAAACACTATAAAACATCATCCTACATGGTAGTTTTTCCTCCGCGATAGCCTCAAGCCTTAAAGACAAAGATGTTGAACGACCTCGAACACTTGTGCGAGCAAATAGGCGGCGTATTGTTCGGGCCGAGTCCCGCGGGCAAATCACTCGGTCCGTTTAATTAAACGTCGCGCCGCGCCGGCCGTCTCGCGAGGAGTCGCGAGATAATTTCGTGATAGTTCGCGATAGACCACGCTAGCCTGAGCTGGCTGTTATACACGCACGTGGCGCGACGGGAGAACGCGCGCGAGCATGTTCGTTCTTCGTGCACGCATATGCGTTCGTCGGTGTTCGGTTTCCACGTATCATTGGCGGTATCAGTTTATTACGCATGTACTCTGCGCAGGGTAATCAATCCCCGATTAATCAACCGAAAATGGTCGATTTAATGCGTTAATGTTATGGCCGTTGATACGCGTTTCGCGCGTATCATTGGTGTTAATTAGTGTAATATAGGCAGTCGTAATATCCGTCATGGTCGGGCGCTAATCCGAGTTTTGCTGAGTCGAATTCAACCGAGCCGAATCGAACTAAACCGAGCAATCGAACTGTTTCCCCCACTGTTTTTCTTTCTTTTTTTTTTTACAGAATCAGTTTCGTTGTCCTTGCGCTTTTTGTCGCCCTCTCCGGGCCCGCGTTTGCTATCTCGAGCCTTTTCCGAAATAGTCTTCGTTTTGGAATCGAGTCTTTTCGTCCCGGAAAGGGAATTATCATGAATTTTGCGTAAGAGCGGCTACATTCGTGCCTCCGCGACTCTTTTTACACGCGGATCTCGTCATCTCGTTTATAAGTAATTGAGGTATGCGAGAAAAACGGAATATTTCACCGGGAACCCCTCATTATGCGTACGTATAAATTCAGAGCAACACTCGTAATTAGTCGATTCGTATCAGCTACGTAAATCGGTAAAGGGGAACGTTGGTCGTGCTTGATTTGTCAAACGGTCCGCCGCGCGCCGCACGCACGGTGCAGGCCACATTTTTCAGAGATTCCTGTTCCTCTTGTCTACAAGAACATCTGGTTCGCATAGCTCGATTTTTCATTGGTGAGCAAGCTGCTGCTAGAATTCATTTTCACATATCGATATATTCATACTTTACATACGTATTCGTTTAAATGACTATTCCTGGATTTCGTAAGACGAGATCCCAAGCTTTTAGTACGATTGAAATCGTCAGTCGCTCCTATTGAAAGATTGAGAGAATTCTCGTGATGCTCGAAATATCTTTGTTATTTTATTTAAGCCAAATGGTGTTTAACAGTTAACATAAATAATCGAAGGGCCCAATGGCTCGATCCAAAAGTATTAAATAATTCAATTGGAAGATGAGAGCGTAAATGAAGTCTGCGCAATACACGATAAAATAAAAATTGTAAAAGATCACCAGACAAATGACTTCGAATCGATTCAACCTAAAAACAAAAGTGTAGAAAAAATCCTCGCGGGACTATCGAAGCGAAAGAACGTCGATATAAGAAGAAAGTATCAGGACGAGAATGAAGAAAGGGAACAACACTCATATAAAAATTCTAGCAAGAAAATGATCGAAATGTGTGTGCGAACTGTTACATTTCCGACGAGCAAGCCTACGAACGTCTAAATTTGCAAATATTGTCCGGAAGAACGAAGGATCCGCACGAAAATCGTGGTTTCCACAGCATGTTCGATTAGCAGAAAATCTGTGGCGTATCGGTAAAGGTGACCGTCTTCGTCAGTCATTCGTAGAGAAGACGAGAGGCAGAGGATCGGTTGGGCTCAGGCTCGGATTCTGGTTCGGGTTCTGGTTCGGGTTTGCGTTCGGGTTCGGGCTCGGGCTCGGGTCCGGGGCTTGCGAGGCGAAAGGATTTTCCGTGAGACGCCGTCAGAATCGTCTATATATTTTCGAGCAATTAGTGTCACGATCTTTTTCTACCGTGCGCTTAACTTTGACATGCTCTGTCACTCCGAGCCCTGGTACCCTTCAATCCCAGTTGTCTGCTATTCGGATGCGAGTAATTACGCGTCACTCATGGCTCTTACGTTCGACGAGCGTGCTGGCGAAGTTTCCTCGCTCGAACACGAGCTCCACCGGGCTCGACGAAACTTCCGTCACCGGAACGTAGGGGGCGTTCGCCTGAGCTTCCCCCTCCCCCCTCCTCCGGCCGCCATCCTTATCAACCCCCCAATTCTCAATTTTCGCTCGCGATCGCGTTCAACGCCTTCGAGTCAGCCGTTTTCAGATTTACATCGATTCGAAGGATTGTCGCGGCGACACTAAGCGTCGCGACGCGATGGATTTACCGACTGGAAAATTATCGCGACTCCGTCGAGAATTCCGCTCCGCCGAAATTATTTTCTCTGGAAAGCTACTGAACTGTTTAGCAAGTTCACTGCTCGGCCGCCAGAAATTCCGCGGAAGTCAGGCTATTTGCTACGAGAAGATACATCGTGGCAAGTTCAGCTTTCTTGTTGCCCTCGATTTTTTAACCGCTGTTTCGGCCCTGCCGGTGATCGATGTTAAAAATTGCTACACGCTCAAAATAATCTCATTAATTAAGCCGAAACTAGAAATTAAAAATTTATCACAGCGTATGGCACTTGAATTACTTTGAATTCCAAACAGTCTAGCAAGATTCAATTTCTTCTGCTGGGCTGGTCAAAAATTAGTATCGTCCACGTATTAATAGGTTGTTCGTGAATCATATATATATAATCGAGCATTCTAGCTTCAAATTCCCCTGGGAATTATTTTATTTATTCAGTTCTAAATAAAACAGCCGTCGGCAGATTGCAATGAATGTAATTGTATAATCGCTAATCCTATAACTGCAACGTACGATTTAAAAGCAGGATCCAGTACTTTATTCTAGATCTAGTACTACATAAATGATGATGCACTTTGGATCTAGAGATAGACTGTAATTCTTGAATTTTGAATATAGATTAAACATGATCACCGATAATTGAATGATAGCCTCGAGTAAGGATTTATTTTATATTCGAAGCACATGTAACGTTGACCCTTATACGAGGTTTCCATTCAATTCTCTATTCTTCTTCTGGAGCTTCTGGATTTGTCTTATTAGAAGCAGCGTTTCGCGAAGCATGACTTGAGCTAATCACTTCCTAAAAGACTCATCCCTGCCTCATCCTGCCTATACATACATCGCATTATAAATAGGAAGCCATTCCTTTCAACGAATATAGCGTTCTACAAAGTGTCCTAAAATTATGTTACTTCCGGCAAATAAGGAGTTCCTGAGACCATTTTAAGTAATTTGTTTCCTTAGCGCAAATTCAATTCGCGGCTTTGTTTACGAGTTATTAGCGGAAAACGCTGACCAATGAGAGGCGAGTACGGCTGGCGCAAGGCGGCTGATAAAGAACCCCTTATTACCCGGAAGTGATATACTTTTGGAACACCCTGTATATATCATACCCAGCTCAGGTCTAACTTATTGTTAGCTGTCTCGTATTTCTCCACAACTGAAAACAGTCTCTGCCTCATCGTCCAAAAGAAAGTACACCTTCAACACTCAACGCACCAAGTAAACGATCAGGTCGAGGCAAGATCATTCCCAATCTACGAGGCTGGTCCCAGAAGTACCCGACATAACATAGAAAACACAAGAAATTTGGGGGCAAATATCTTTATTTTTCAACATAATCTCCTTTTAGCTGGGTACATTTTTCCCAGCGGTGTTCAATAGCTTCGATACCCTGTTTATAGTGAGAATCGCCCAGCTCCTCGAAATAGCCATTAACCGCAGACTCCACCACTTCATTATTGGTAAATTTTTTACCACCGAGCCACTTTTTCAAGTTTGGAAAGAGAAAATAATCCGTGGGGGCTAAATCTGTCGAATAGGGTGCTTGAGAGAGCAATTCGAACTTTAACTCCTGGATTTTGGCCATCGATTGGAACATCCTCGCGACGCTGATTTTGTTCCATTGTGAGCAAACGCGGCACCCATCTTGCGCACAGCTTTTTCATATCCAAATTTTCAGTCAATGTGCGATGTACAGCACTTTTTAAAATGCCCACCATGTCTGCAAGCTCGCGAGTCGATCGTCGACTGGTTCGGTCTCGTTTAAATTCTGCCACCCAATATCTTATTGTTGTAAACGAAGGAGCAGACTCCCCTAGAGTATAAATATAGCTCAATTTTGATATTGGTTGGACTGAGACATTTCACATGAAAATATTGCATCACATAACGATGACCAATTTTGTCCATGTTTACAAATTCACTGAGAGCGTTCGCTATTAATGGTTGTCGAACAAATACTAAACAATGTAGCGTCTTCAAAATTGAAACTTAAGCTTTGTAAGGTTGGTACTTTTTCAACTATAGTCGTAAAACAAAACAATAACTGCCATCTGTACCTCAGGCCGGGTACTTCTGAGACCACCCTCGTACTTTCCACGATCCGGAAGCCGTAGCAACGCCTTCGAGGATTCGTGCCGAAATTTCTGGCTCGAAGCAGCCTCGACTGCCTCTCCGAGGCTCGATGCCTTCTAAAGAAATTCCTGCTGGTGGAGCCGTCAGGGTCCCGCAATTTCCCAGGAGACGAGTTTGCGACGCAGCCATTTCGCCGCAATTAATCGTCAGAACGGAAATCGCCGGGCGCTGACGGCAGACGATGTGCAGCAGTAACCGTCTGGTACGGTCTGCTTAGCCCGATACGCCGGAAGGTTACGACCTACAGCAACGGATTGCTGCATAAACGGATTGCTGCGCTACAACAGCGGGAGAAAGAGAAACGCTGAAAACTACCGGGTTGCTACATAGAAGAGGGCCAGAAACCCTGTTTCTCTTCCTCTCTCTCTTCTTCTCTCTCCTTCTCCCTCCCCCCCCCCCTCTCTCTCTCTCTCTCTCTCTCACGCGAGCGCGCGCGAAGAGAGCAAAGTTCGGGACCGAGATGTCGAGTAAATCGCTGTCACGCAGCCGCCTAGCCGCCTGCCGCCTCCCTCACGGCCGAACTGTCTCGCTCTGCTCGCTCGGCTCGCTCGGCTCGCTCGACTTGCGCCCTTCCGCGACGGCACTGTGCTCCACCCTCGAAAAATTCATAGTTTCGTGAACCCGACAGCTGACGCGATCTATAAACATCAGACACGCCCGGGCTTTAATATATTGAGAAACTTTAATTGCCGGCAGAATGCACTCGAACCGCCTGG